TTTTTAAGTTTTAGCTTTAATTTTTGAGTCAGGGTCTCACTGTGTATTCCAGGCTGGCCTGGAACTCTGGCTGGGCTTGAACTTGTGGCAATCTTGCCTCAGCCTCCCAAGCACTGAGATTTACAGGCATTCATCACCGTATTTGGCTAGGATTATATTTTAGAGTCACCCACTTGAGAGTTTAGTATTTCTCTTTTGGGGGGTTTTGGGGTTTTTGTTTGTTGTTTTTAATACAGAGTCTATGTGTGTAGTCCAGGCTGACTGCAAACTTGCTATGTTGCCCAGGCTGGCCTTGAGTTTGCGATCCTTCTGCCTCAGGCCCCTCGTGCTCCTACTACATATGTTCCTACCCGGTTTGTATTTCTACTCTTGTATAAATTTATGTAACTCATATTTTGGTCTTATCTAATATCATAAACTTAAATTCTTTATATTTACTGAAGTCCAATTTATTTTCTGTGTAGATGCACTTATTAAGAGGTGAAACAACAGTGGCAAATGGCAGCCAGTCTGAAAGTTCAGTGTCTTCTCCATCTGCCTCATTTGAACCTAATGACACTTCTGAAAACTCTCAGTCCAGGAATGTAGAGTTTTGCCAGACACCTCTCACTTCTCCTGGTACAAAATCAGATACTGCAACAGGTAACTTTTAGTGTACCTTTTAGGGTATAACGGAAATATTTCCCACTTAATTTTAAAGCGCATGGAATAGTATTTTGTTATTTTAGGAGGTTGGGAGTTGAGACAGTGTCTCATTATATAATTTAGGCTGTCTTTCAACTCACTGTGGAACCCAGGCTGGCCTCTTTTCACAGTGATCCTCCAAAGACATCCCACTATGTCCATCTCAGGCAGTGGATTACTGTTTTTAAAAGTAAAGAGAGCCAGGGATTTAGCTCAGTGGTGCCACTACCTACCTCAAAAGCGCAAGGTCCTGAGTTTGATCCCTGGTACCAAAAAAAAGCTGGAGATATAGTGGAGCGCTTGCCTAACACGTCCAAGGTCCTGGATTCAGTGACTGCAACACAGAAAACAAAATTAAATACATCTATTTTTGTTTCGTTTTGTTTTTTTGAGACAGGGTCTCACTATGTAGTTGAGACTGACCTGGAACTCACTATGTAGCCCAGGCTGGCCTCAAACTCACAGAGATCCTCCTGCCTCAGCCTCCCCAGCGCTGGGATTACAGGCCAGTGCTGGGATTATAGGCGTGTGCCACCACGCCCGGCTTTCCTTCACTTTTTTTAATTTAAAATTTAGATTAAAAATTTAGAAGGTCAGGTGTGGTGGCTCACGCTTGTAATCCCAGTACCTAGGAGGCTGAGGCAGGAGGATGGCTGTAAATTCGAGACCAGCCTTGGCTAAATAGTTCTAAATCAGTCTCAACTACATAGTGAGACATTGTCTCAAAAAAAACAAAAACAGCAACAAAAAAAAATTTTTTTAGAGTGGTCCTAATTATGTGCATGTCATTTAGAGATAGCAGATAGTCATTGAATGTGCCCTTCACTCCCAGGTAGTGAATAGTTCGCAACAATTGGTTTATAATTACTGCTATTATGCTATATAGTTCAACCAATATCATTATGACATTTGGAGTTATGTAAATCTTCCTGGCCTAGAGGATTTTGAAAGATGCAAATGAATTAATGTATTTGAAATTGTTTTTATAACCTATAAAATGCTATACAGTCAGAGAATGGCATTGCTTTGGGGGAGGAGGCATAGTGAGATGGATCTCACTGTGTATTCCCGGCTAACCTTGAACTCACTGTATAGCCCAGGGTGGCTTCAAACTCTCATCCATCCTGCCTCAGCCTCCTGAGTTCTGGGATTACAGATGTGTAACACTGTGCTGGGCTGTATTTTATTTTAGTTTATTTTCCGGGCTGCATTTTAAAATTGGAATATATCACTTGAACCCAGTTTGAAAAATTTGTTCCTCTCCCTCTCCCCTCTATCTCCCTCCCCCACCTTTCCCTCTCTTCTTTCCTCTCTTTTACCAGAGATCTAACTCAGGATCTTGCACTTGCCAGGTAGGCACGGTGTCACTGAACTACATCCCTGGCCTTGGTGTTTTTTTTTGTTTTTTGATTTTTGTTTTTTTCTTTCTTTTTTTGGTACCAGGGATTGAACTTTGTGAGGGAGGCAGCGGCACTGCTGGGCTAAATCCCTGGCCCCCAGCCTTGTTTTCATTTCACATATTATGTGCCTTTTTCTCTTGTCTTGGTGAAGCTAATTACAAGTTTAGGCATCATGAAACTTCTCCCGTAGGTTCATTGTCGCGAGCCGGATTGCCTTGGGCAACTCGGTCTGCGACTACAGGGGCCTGAACTGGCGTCGCGTGAGCAAAGAGGCACACACTTGATACACAAGGAGTTTACTTCAGTTCCTCATCTCCGGATCTCTACCCCGCTCTCTGCGCCCGGAAGGGGTGGCAACATATATACCATAATGCAACCAATCAGCATACAGAGAACAAATTATTACCTTATAAGGATACATCAAACACCCACGGGAACATATGTGATTTACAGGAAAACTAAACATAATACAAAATGGCTTCATAGGCTATATCATAAAATGGCGGAGGGGCGGATCTATGGTTCTCCACATTCATATTTTCACTTTTTTTCTTTGGATTGGATATTTCTGTTCACTGTTATCCCTGTTCAGTTATTAATCCCATCCAGTGAATTTTTAAATTTTAGATAAAATTAGATATTTTCTGGGGGATACTGGGGATTGAACTCAGGACCTTGTGTTTGCAAGGTAGGTGCAGTGCCACTGAGCTAAATCCCCGGCCCTGCACATGTTTTTAAATTATAGGATTTCTAATTCTTTCTTCCTAATTGTAACTTATTTTGTAATAGCTTGACTAATAACTTGCAAAAATTGTAGAGTTCCTGAATGTCCTGTATTTACATTTTATTCTTTTACTGCTATCTTTTAAACCAGGTATGGCTCACACCTGTGGTCCCAAATTTTGGGAGGCTTAGGCAAGAGGATCAAAAGTTTCAGCCCAGGGCAGTTTAGAACCTGTCTCAAATTTAAAAAGTGGGTGTAGCTTAGTGTAGGAGCACTGAGTTCAATCCCAATACCATACATAATAAAACAACAGCTGGGTATAGTGGCCCACACCCTGTAATCCCAGTAGTGGAGGTTGAGGCAGGAGATCACAACCTCAAGTTTAAGGCCAGCCTAAACTACATAGCAAGACCCTGTCTTTAAAAAAAACCCAACATGGGCTGGGGATTTAACTCAGCGGTTTGGTGGCCTGCCTTGCAAGTGCAAGGACCCAAGTTCAATCCCCGGTACCAAAAAAA